AGTCCACCACAGAGGCACTTTTAGTGTAAGCAGTAACAACAATAAGTGTAAATATGCACTACATTGGTATTCATTGATATCAATCAGCTCGAAATATACTTTCATTTGCTAAGAAACATAGTTCAAACAGTAATGTGTAACTATTTGTGCCTTTGTGTAACTTCTCAAACAATATAAATTTTGGTTTATTTGCTCTAAAGGTCTGTTTCTACTTACAACAACAACAATTTTAGGACAAGTGCATTTCTAAGTTTAATATTATACTTAAATTGGTGTGACTAAGTTCCAAAAATGGTTAAATGTGGTTGAGACATGTAAGAAATATACTTAGATACTTCATAGTTAAGTGTGAACATGTAATTTATATTCACAAGTTTTGGAAAATAAAATCATGAGCAAGGAACAAGCAAGTTTTTGTCTAGACTATGAGTGGATAAAAATTGTACAAGCAAAAACTAATCATAATGTAATTTGAGGAAATGTGGGTTGTGTGTGTTGCAGAAAATAGAGCAACATTTACATTACTGCTGAAACAAAGTAAAGGCAAAAGTGAAGAACAAATTAGTTGAATGAAAAGCTTGCATTAATATTATAGGAATTATAGTGCCAATTTAAAACATAAATGTTTTCTCATTCACATGTGCATGAATCAAATCGCAAAGGTGGATTGTAATGCTTTCTTATCTGAGTCAGAATCTACAAATTTAAGTCTTTTGTACCATTTTGGAGGAGATTCCACTTTAGTTCTTTGGATTGCAAATGTCAGGGATTGAGCAAGGCATAGATTTAGACAAAGACTGCAATCAGTTTGCATAAGGAGAAATCAGAATGATTTTCACCAATTTTCATGAAGTCTGGCTTTCTCCGACATCATCTTCCTTAGTAAATCTAACTTGTTTACATCAATGGCTGACTTCTTGTTTTAAACCTTGAAGTCATGATTCTATAGTTGTCTGCAACCAGCAAACCTCACTGACATTCACTTTCATTCATTTTGGCAAGCCCCCAAACTACAAAGGCATAAAAAAAAATCCATACCATTGTTTTCACTGGTCAAAATATCTTCTACAACTTGTGATTGGTCAGATGCTAATTTCTCACTAGTGAGAGAAACCATCCTACCTATCAGAATTTGTGCAGTTTATTACAAATCTTTTTGTTGTTGTTGTTAAATTAGCTTGAAGTAAATCTCAGTAGGTATATACATCAGCAAAGATATCTTCACATACATTTCAAAAAGTTTGATCCTGGTAATTCTTTAACTGTTTTTAAATATACAACAAAAATAAGTCATCCACTACCGGTGTGGGATACCACACTTATATGTGCATAAAGCTAAAAACTTGCCAAGCAGACAAATCATGCATGTAGGTATTAGCAAACAATGCTCATTTATCCATCCAAGCACATTGGGAAGTTTCTTTACATGATTGCTGCCTGGAGGAAAAGTCACACTCAACTTAGCTAGCACAAATTATCCTTGCTGAGGTTATTGTTTGAACCAATACTGATTGGAAAAATTGGTAACAGCTCTTCCCAATAATGACTGATGGATGGAAAGGAAGAGAGTTTATGTACAGATGGCAACTCTCTTCTGAGTTTGCACAGCCATCACGTTTGTAATGGAAAGCCACCTGACAAAGCAGTAACTTTCCTCATGGCTAAAAAGACGACTCACACTAATTAAGAAAATATTGCACTTCTAAGTTTCAATGTTGATGTTAAATTCTGAACGTACATGGTATTGTTACACTTGAAACATAAAATCATTTGCTCTTGATTTCTATCGCATCATAGCTATTCAGACTTCATTTATCGCGCGAATGAAATCCCAACATCATATCTAAATTTTGAAATACAAAAACTGTTGAAAGCAACCTTGGAGTTCGGAAGTCATTTTGACGAAAATCACGTTCATAAATAAAGGGTCGGCGTTTTCGATATCTAAGCTTAAAATGGCAGATGGTAAAAAAATACTGTCAAATCCTTTGTACGGGAGAATAACTTCACACTTACCTGACCCGTGAAACTTTACCAGCAGAAGAAAGAGTAAGTAAATTTCATAATCACGCAAAGACACCATCCTGTCAGACCTTTGCTGATGCCTCAACGAGGAAGGATGTGCCAAAATCTTCTGGAAGTCGCTTGACGGGATAGCCTATAAGGCACTAATTCGTTTTGAGACTGGGACCGACTGTCACGATCCTTGTCGGCAAATTGCCTGAACAACATGACGGATGGTGCGATTTATGGAAAAAAATCCCATTTATGTTAGACAATTAGGACATTTGCATGAATTTTAGAAACTTTTCTTCCGGAGAAACGTTCCATTCAGATTAAACTATGTGTGAAACTTGCGAATGTGACGAATGAGAACAAAGACACCGATATCGATCACGCGCGTAGATGAAAGTCACGCAAGTAAAAAGTAACTTGTAACAGACAGATTTCAACTCCTCTTTCTTGTTTATCAACCGTGGATTCTTTTCCAAGGGCTACTAAATATAATCAAGGTCGGGTTCCACTGATCTATCCCCTATGGGGATGCACGAGAGTACCCATATTCCTGGGGCCGGAACCGGAAGTCAAGTGGATTACAAATGAAATAATAACGCAATCCAGACGCGTAAAGTCAGTCAGTACATGGCAAGAAATGCGGGAGTCGTTTTGAATACGTTTTTTTTTTAAGAGTAATTTTCCTCAATCTTGATTCAGCTTCTTCGTGTATCTTCGAACCATGTGGTCTAAAAACATCTCTAAGACTTTTAGTTTTGTGGTTGATGTAAAAAGGGACTTTAAGATACGGTAAGGTGAATCTGTACTACGGCTACCTTGGCCGCGATAGACTAGGGTGAGTACGGCGTATTTCCCTCCAAATACGAATCGTTAAGTTACAGCGACACTACGGCGAAAAGCTCAGAGCTCAAAGCGTTGTTGTGCAGTCATTCTATTGGCAAAAATGTCATCCTTCAAGGAAGCAAGAGAGTTATTCCGTTTTTGTTATAAGATGAATTACATTAGTGATGACGAATTTTTGTTGCTTTACACTAGCTACGAATCACAAAACCTAGAACTTCCGTATGACCCGTTCTCTGAATTTGACTTCGAAAATTTTAGCGACGAATGTTTGGCACAGTTTAGACTTTAAAAAATGCACATACCGTAATATAAGATGCAGTCAAGGGAGTGTTTGTGATGGAGAAGAAGCTTTATGTTTGCTGTTATGTGTTTTCCATATCAGTATAGCGACATGGTACATTTATTCACCAAGCCTGTTCCTGTTATCAGCATGATAAGAAATGAAGTGTTGAATTACACTTATGCAACTCGCGGTCATCGTATTCAACAATGGAACTATCAGCGGGTCACCC